CCCAGATTAAAGCAGAATGGTGATGGGCAGTGGAGATGGTAAGTAAAGGAGAGAACGAGGGAGAGGTGTAGGCAAATGGGGAGATGAGAGAAAAGAAAGTGCCCAATCAGAAATAGAGCAGGGAAGGAAAGGAGGGAAGGTGAGAAGGAGGGGGAAATCAGGTTCCCTTTGACCTGCGCCACATAACCTCGTTTTCACCATATTTTCTGGTGGTTTTTCATCGGATTTCTAGTGAATTGCCGCCATCTGTCACCTGGAAAACATTCAATTACCCTCCCTCTTCCTTTTCCACCTAAACTTATAATGAATTTGGTGCTATTTTTGGGGAAAAACCTACTGTGGAGCTTATGGGTGTATGGCGGCGATGCGCAAATCGTGAAGCTAAATCAACCCATTTCCACCACCAATAGACTTCCCTTGAGGCTTAGAACAAAGCTCAATCAGTTGTAGGGGCAGCGAAGCACCGAAGATGACGAATCAAGAACACCCATCTTAAAGGTTTCTGGCGGGTTTTCATGAAATTAAGGCTTTTCCTGGCCAAATTGGCCTTAGTCATAGGTATGAAACTTGTTCTACTCGTTGAGATCTTCATTTCTGTAAAATTTGGTAATTTTTAGAAACAGTTGAATTTTTTGGCAAGTCGAGGCGCCCAACCGCCACCTGCGGCGGTGTGTGGGCCGAGACTTTCTCTAACCTTCCTAGGTTAAATTTGAATACTCTGATTCCATTGGTGAAGTCCGATTGACGAATTTCTGTCATTTGGACGTAGTTCCATGAAAGTCCGCCACTTGATTATTATAGCAATCGACGGTCTGACCGTTGGATCGTCACCAAACTTTGATATGTTATAATACGTAATATTTGAGGATATTAGAAACTTATGGATAGGGAATCCGACGTGCGGATCTTCCCAATTAGGACATGTAAGTTATATGTTCTATTGATAAGAATTCTAAGACATGATTTGATAATTGTTCTAGGCGCTGATCGTTCGTGACGCCTTGATGTTGTGCTAGGGAGTTGTAGCACGGACTCCAGGTGAGTGGGCTTTTGGTTTTCTATATATATATATGTATGTATACTTTACGTTTTTTCCAGAAATTGTTTTAAATGAAATGTGATTGAAATGCCATGTCATACTTGCGTTATATTTTAGTATATGCATTGGTGTAGTCATGTATAATGTTGCATTATGTTGCGAAGCCCAGGTAAGCTACAGGTGAGTACATTATGATGTTAGTGGTTGTGATATATATAGTTATGCCTGGATGCATTTGGTACTCATTATCCTGCATCCGGGTGTTAGTGCTTCGTCTGAGGTCAGGGTCAGCCTTCACGTGATCGTTCACCTCCTGCACCGTATGCTCACCTTGGATCGAAGGTAGGTGCCAGCCTATCGTATAGACCACATTAGGTGGTTCCGACTCGTAGGTGACTTACGATACTTCGCACAACCTTCACGTGATCGTAGCACTTAAGCGTATTTATTTACACCCAGCTTGTCGTACAAACCACATTAGGTCTTTCCGACTTGTGTGCAGGTTTAGAGCCATACAGGTCACGTTAGGTGACTTCGGCTAGCATATCATTTTACATTGATTTATTCCACCTGGCTGACTTATTTCATTGCTGAGATACTTGGCATGGTATATACTTGGTTTTCACTACTCTCGAGCATGATTTCTATATACATATGTATTATTATTTTCTAGGAAATTATACGGGTTTTATGGCGAGGGGTTATAATATTTTCAAAAGGTTTTTATTAAAAACTTTATTTTTAGGCTCACTCACCCTTGTTTTTGTGCCCTTCCAGGTTTTAACTGTTGGATGTCCGTATCGACGAGGATTCGTGGTGAATCTCAGTATAGGTGGCTAGCTCTGAAGGTATGATCATTACCCACACTACTGTACTTTACTTATACTCTGATATCGCGTGTGAAATAGGTTCATTCTCACGCACTCTTATCTTTAGGTACTTTTAGGTTTAAATTTATTCACATTTTCCACATCACCGTACTTAATGGTTTCGTCTCCTTCCAGGTGTCGGCCAGTGCAACTTGATTCGGAATCCTAGTGGACATCCTGAGTCAGGGTGTGTCAGCATACATAATTAAAATCAAAGGAAGTACTATTAAGAAGAAAAACATTAAAAACATCTTGTATGAAAAATAGATTAGTTATGCATATTCATAATTAAGATCATAGAAAATATTATTAAAAAGAAAAATATTGAAAACATCTTGTATGAAAAAGTCTGCAAATCTCCATGAGCTCTAGCCAAATTATCTCTCCAAAATCGTATAGAGAAAATGACACACCCCGATCGAGATTAGGGCATGCTGGCCGTCACGTGGAAGTGACGTAGCCATGTGCACAGTGCGGAAGCTAATAAAATAGTACTACGAATAAATAAAAAAAACTGATTTTACAGTAAGTAATAATAATAAGTACGACACCTAGTTCAGAGCAAGCCTAAAGCAGTCCAAATGGAAATAATACGACAACAGTACACCCAAAGGTGGCCCTACGCTGGTGAGGGTCTGTCAGAAATGCCGGGAAGCCCTCTAGGAAACCACCGAACCTGCTACTCAACTAGAACCTGGAGGGGCGCAAAACAAAAGCGTGAGTGGGCAAAAACAAAGTTTTTCGAAAACCATTTAACAATTACGTTCTAACCCCTCGCCGTAAAACCTGTATACTTCCTAGAAAATAGATATACGTATAGTATATATATACCAACCATGCTCAAGAATATGCCATGCCAAACCTCATAATGAAATGCAAGTGCTCAGGTGGAAATCATAACAATAACATGTAATCTGGCAGCCGGAGTCACCTAACGTGACCAGTACGGCTGCATCTAGAGCTCAAATCTCAATCTCACTAGATGAACCTGCACACGAGTCGGAACCACCTAAGGTGGTCTGTACGACAGGCCTGGGTGTAATACATATATACGCTATAGTGCTACGATCACGTGAAAGCTGTGCGAATAATCGCGGGTCACCTACGAGTCGGAACCACCTAGAGTGGTCTGTACGACAGGACTGTGCACCTAACTTGGATCCAAGCTGAGCGTGTGGTGCGGGAGGTGAACATCACGTGAAGGACTGTGCCCTACTCTGGGCAGGAGCACTAACACCGGGGGTGCAGGTTATGAGCTCTCTAAGCATCTCGAATCACTACTGAAAGTAAACATGCATAACACCTACCTGGCACTTACCTATGCGTCCACAGCACCAATACATGCACATATATAAATGCAGTAACCATGCATAACCAACGACAATATAATATATGGCATAAAGCGAATAAACAATTTAAATCATTTTCTGGGAAAATATAAGTATATAGGTATATACGGAAAACCAAAAGCCCACTCACTGATATGTGGAAGGGTCGTAGCCCCCCTGTCTCGAGTGACCACGCTCGTCCTCGGGATAGGTGTCACCTATATGCGAAACAACTACAAAAAACGTCAATTTAAAAGCACAAAACCAACCTTTAGAAATAACTTCTCATACAATTCTCAAATGGGGTATATGAATATACCAACGTGACCTACTCAACCTCAGGAACATCCCCATATTTTTAGAAAAATTTTCCACCGCCGCACGCGTCGGCCAAGGCACGGCCACACGCGCAGGCACGTGCCTGGCACGCTGACGGCGTCAACTGACGCCGTAGGGAATATTCCGTCAGTTTTGACAGATTCCGTTAACGGCGTCAGGAATATTCCGTCAGACTTGACGGAATATTCCGTCTCCTTCTCCGGTGAACCTCCGGCGCCGGCGACGGCGCCGGAAAACTGGGAAATTTTTAAACTTCAATATCTTCTTCGTTTTTCATCCAAATTTCACAAAATTGGTACCAAAATGAAGCTTAGAACTAGAGGAACACATTCATACCACTTTCAAGTGCTAAAAACCACGAAATCTCACCTACAAAAACACCCCAAATCCGGCCAACCTCGAAACTCGTGATCCCGACGTCCAAAACCTTCAAACGAACCACCCCAAGCCTCCTAGGGACCTCACCAAGCTACCTACAAGCTTGAAATTTCCTAAAACGTGAGAAATCACGTGTGTATGAACAATACTCGAAATCGGACATTGTGGATTCGACGTGAAAACGAAGGTGTTCTTACCTGAAAATGGTATGGTTGGACTCCTACGAGCCTCACGAGCTCGAATATGTACTTGGTTTCTTCGATCTGTGGAGGTTTGATAGGTTTTGGGTGTATGTCCGTACGTTTTCAAAGGAAAATGGGAAGGGAACTGGACACGGGTAGGATGCAGGGCAGGGGAAAAAGTGTGGGTGTGTGGGAGTATGTGTGTGGCTCAAAACAGGCCAACAAAACCCGAAAACATAACCCAAAACGTAAAGAAATCAAACTAGGGGCAATTTCGTCATTTCACGCGTACGTTTTTAAAATTCTCGGGACGGGCTGTCACAGAAAACCTCAATAGCCGGCCCCTTTATTTATATTACCACAAATTAAAATCTTTCATAAAAGAGGTCACTACCCCAAGTGCCTAATGTTATGAACACAATCATTTATTTAGGGCCAAACAGAATGAGCACATGAGTGCGGTATGGGATGCACAAGTTTATTTGTCCTTTGTATAAATGATTTTCAGAATGACAAGCTATATGATGTGATTTTTTAGGGCGCAAAGTATAGGTTATCTGTTTTATAGGTTAAATTAATTAATTTAATATAACTAAACTTTGTTGGGAAAAAATTTGGCTACTTAATATTATAAAAGACGAGGAATTGTTCCTCAAAAGGTTCCATGATTGGAGGCCGAACCTTCATGTTTTTTATTGAAAAAAATTAATATTATAAATTATTCTTTAAAAATTGTTTTGTTAAAAATTAATTAAAATAAAAATTATTTAATTAATTAATTGTGACAAATAGATAAAACGATGGTAGTATTTTACTGAGATTCATCCATCTCGATTCTGTCTAGGAAGTATTTATTAAGTAGGCCAGCATTATTTTTCCGTTGGGCACCGATACTTGTTCGTACCAATTACGAAAGCCCATTTTGTTCCATCAGTCGTGCCAACAGTGCCCTTCCTCCTCCACACTGCAGCGCTCTCCACCGCTCCTCCGCTCCTCCCTCCGATCCTCACCTGTAACTGTAATTCCTTCTTCTTCGATCCTCCACTTCTCTCTTCTTCTTGTTGCTCAATTCTTCATCTTATTCTAGTTTATTTTCTTCTGATTATAGTTTCTAAATTCTGGTTTTCGGCCTAAACCTAGGAATTTAGGGATTATTGAGTTAATGCCCGATTTCAGATTTTAGTTGATGAATACTTTGGGGATTAAGTTGAATTTTGGAATTGAGTTGGAGCTCCAGCCTTCGTTTTTAAAACTTTAATTGATTTGCTTGTATAATCGTATCTTCTACCAACATGGCACAAAATCGAGCACAGTGGCGTTCTAATATATATATATAGCCAACCTCACTTAGTGGGATAAGGCTTTGTTGATGTTGCTGTTGTTGTGAATTTTCAACTAGACTCATTGTTTTATCATTTTGCTGGGAAATCCCATAAAAAGCAAATTAGACTCTACCCAAATTTAGAGAGAAACTTTCGACTTAGGAAAATTGGCTTTAAAGTTCTGTCCAATCCAGTTTCACCTCCTGCTTCGGTGCTGGTGCTCTTCATTTACGATTTTCGCTGATTAATATATTCTTGGAAATGGCTTCTTTTCTTGTTGATTCTGTTGCTCCTTCGGATTGCTTTTTTGAACTTATATGTTGCCACTGATTACAGGTAGAAAATGCCCAAGGTGAAGACTAACCGAGTGAAATACCCAGAAGGTTGGGAACTGATTGAGCCTACTCTTCGCGAGCTACAAGCTAAGATGAGAGAAGGTTTAGTCTTTTTTTTTTCCGTGTTTTTATTACATTTTTCATTGAACTTTTAAAAATTGATGCGTATAAGAATTCAAAACCATACTAATGTATGTTTCCTTTATCTTTTGGACAGCTGAGAATGATACTCATGATGGTAAGAGAAAATGTGAGACCTTATGGCCTATTTTCAAAATTGCACATCAAAAGAGCCGCTATATTTTTGACCTTTACCATCGAAGAAAGGAAATTTCCAAGGAATTATATGACTTCTGCCTGGACCAAGGCTATGCTGACCGCAATCTAATTGCAAAATGGAAAAAGGTTTGCCTCGGATCACTTCTATCTTTATTTGCAATTAGTAGGCATTTTCATTCCTAAATCTGGTTTATATGTGTATGAAGATGACTGCATGTTAGATTGCACCTTGGAAATAAGTTGCCTAGTTTTGAATTGGAATTTAGTTATTAATCATGAAAAACCTGTAAATACGGTTGAAAGAATGCAAGCATGAATATTTAATATAAGAAAATTGGAGTAAACTTAGCATTGCTAGAAAATTAGCAAACTCAGGGGGAAATACATAGACATGGGACATGGGTAGTATGACATGGATGTGCCGACGATGAGGATAAAGATATGTATTGGATTTTGCATTGTCAGCTGTGTTTGTAAGTTAAAAAGGAACTTCTGTACCTTAATTAGGATACTCAGAATGTTAACGAAAATATAGCAAACTCATGCAGCCTGGATACGAACGCCTCTGTTGTTTAAGATGCATGCAGCCTCGGGATCATAACTTTGCCACCACATGTGTTTGCCGAGTGCCCAAGCATCTGAGGGAGGAGAAGGTTATAGAGTGTGTGCATTGTGGCTGTAAGGGCTGTGCCAGTGGAGATTGATTAGTGGTATGTCGTTCAAATTGCAATACAAGTGAGATGTTGAACCACATTATCCTTGGTATTGTGGATTGTTGGGAATTTGTAACATTTAGCTGATCTTAATTAATCTAGGCGATCCCTTTATAAACGGTAATACTAGTATGTTGTCTCTGTAACTTTTCCTTAGGCCCAATGTTTTACTTGTAATTGAGTAAAGTTTGAATTTTTTACGCTTCGTTATTCCTGTTGGTTGAAATAGTGCATTCCCTACTCAGTACATTTCGTTATTCGAAGTAAAGTTTGAGCAATTTGTTCGATTCCATGTTTCACAAATTGAGTTGCTAAGTTTAGGGACATCGCTACTCTGAAGAGTCATTGCAAAATCCTACATATACTGAATCTTGGAAAATAATCGGGCGTATAGGATAAATGCGGCATGTTTAATGTGGTGTATCGAATGCACCAAATTTTAACCCATGTCTTTAGCCTTGGATTTAGGTTTTAGGGTTTGTATATTCATAAAACATGTGTTGTAATTTGAGTGAATTCGAGATAAGACGTTAATATGCCAGGTGCGCTATGGATTGAGAAGTATACACAACAAATGAGGTTGTGGTCTTAGGAATGATGGTTGAATCATGGCTTATGACCAATTTATAGGCCGGTTTGACACTTAATCTGATACGGGTCATAAGCCGCATTGCGTGGCTTAGCACGGTCGTATTTTCCTTAAAGTAGAATACAGTTGTATAAAAAAAAAAAAAAAGATAATCTCCTGCATCTCATAAGCGCTGTTCTAAAAATTTCCACTTAGCGTTGTCTATGCCCTGCTTATACGCTAGGCGGGTGGCCACCGTCCCAATTAGTTCCTAAACGTTTGAAAATTAAGAAAGTGCACCTAGATCTACTTAGGGGCCCATTTAAACTTGCCTAGGTCACTACTCTCACTTAGAAAAAATGATAACTTTAATTTTGCATTTTATTTTTTCAATAAAATATAAGGGACCTGTTGAATATTTGGATGAACACTCATTATATATTCCCCATGTTTTCAATATGTTCTAATACTTTATAATCTATATGTCATTTTATTTACAATTTATGTATACAATCATGTTTTTTTTTAATATATATAAGAAATTTACTTAAATCCGCATAATCCGGCTAAGCCACCGCCTAGTCGCCTAGGCCCTCTCCTGCCTGCTGCCGGCTAGCGCTTAACGTCTTTTAAAACCTTACTCATAAGCCTTCAAATTGATTAGAAAAAACAAAACAAAATCAAATTGGCTTGTATTGGAGCCTATGATTTTTTAATCCAATAAAAAATGGCCACTTGATGGATATTAAATTTCTAAATGGACCATTACCAATTTACCATATTATATAAAGTCCACCACTCGATTAGTACCTCCCCAACACTATGACAATGCCCTCCCAACGGCTACACTTATTAAATAAACATGATCAAGCAAGTCCCTTTCCTTGCTGCCATCATTCCATTGCTGTTTCTACCCTAAGTAAATTAATTTCGTGAAAGCCGAAAAACTTGTACTATTCTGTTTACCGAGAATTTTTCTTGATACGAGCTATACTGGGGAGTGGGATATGAACACAAAACTCAGGTGTAGGAATAAACACTCTTAACATCTTGAGCTACATGCCTCTTGCATATCTTACTGAGATTACATTGAGCTTAATAAGTTTCAATTTATATCTTAATCTTCTTGTGTTACTTACTGCTGTAAGAATGAAGTTTCATGAGAAGGAAGAGACAATGTTTGGTATAAAGAATCTTTAGATAACCCGAAATCAAAGATACCGCAGTTTTTGTTTATAATAATCTTGTTTTGATGATCGCTGCCCAGCAGATGCTTGTAAAACTGTTCAAAAGAAAAATAAACGTAACGCTGACATATGAAATTGTAATCTGGGTACTTGGGACCTGTTCTTTAGCATATACTGGTTGGTTTTAATGTTTGAACTCTTGCTCAGCTGGTGTTAGTGTTGATCAGTTCAGACTTGAGACTGCAGAGACAGACATAGTTGCTTTGTCTAACTGGTTTAAAGTCGTCACGTGTAAGTAGCTGGTTTCAGAGGGATAATCATCTGCTTGAGTACATAGTCTGCTTATAGCTCGTGCAGGTACATAAGAGTTGACACTTTTCGGGTGGCTTCAAATTTTTTGTTTGTGGGAAAAAGTTATTTAGTATGGTCAGTGAAAAGGGAAGCTCAGTGAATGATTCTTTTGTGAAACCAGAAGGCAGTTGGCAGAGTTTGATAAACTCATTCCAGGGTCAGGGGGTTCCAAGAAGTCAGGGGCAGCAGATGGAAGGAAGAGGGCTTTCCGACTTCTATAGGAATACAAGCGAGGAGTTGATCGTGAGATCTTATATGGAAAGCTCAGTTGCAACGCCTCTACCGACCATGGAGATGCTTGGTTTTAAGAATTTGTCTCAAAACTTTCGTACAGATAGCGAGGAACTCTTCAAAAGCTGGCTCACAACTGGAGAGGCAAGCAGCCGTGTTATTCCTATCCTAAGTATTCATTTACTTGTTTTTCTTGTTGAAAGCTTTATCATTCATTGAATGTCCAATAGAACATCATCTAGGTTTGAGTCAGTTAAAATGGCTCGTAATTCGCATTCAAATACCATTCATTCCATATGAACGCGATTCAATGTCTCTCTCTTATGGTTCAATATTTGTTTTTCCCTACCAGTTATTACTCTCCTTTATAACTCTACAATCTGATGCTCAAATAATTGTTTCACATAAGATATACAAAATCCATTAGAAGCTGGATGATATGCACTTGTGGATTCTGCTCTATCCCTTTCCTGATTGTCTTTTTTGTTTGATTGACATGCAACTTTTTCCAGACCAATTGCTACAATTCATCAAGCATTGCGCATCGTACCCGATCACGGATGTAAGTAGTTTGCAGTTTGAGCAACCCTTAAATGGAAATCGTGTGCTACGCCTTAAAAACGTTCTTCTTTTCCAGACTGCATAGTTTTGTTTACCCTCAGACTTCCGGATCTTTGATCTTCTTGGCCTTCTTATTATAAGCTCATAATTGCTTTGTACATCACAGGATATCTACTGAAATAGCTAGCTTATCGTCGGGTCAGCAACATGTCGGTATTCTTCAAAAGAAAAGAAGCAATGAGTGTTTATATCCACCAATTAATACCATGCCTGATGAAATCTCAGGTGACAACAATCAAAGTTCAATCAGGTGGCTACTGCTCCCTTCTAATAAGCTGCCTTCTAATAAGCTGTCTTGTAGCATATATGATTTTATTTACATGGTGACGATAACATTTGGTCTCAATTTTTCAGGCATGGTGTTGAACGAGGAATGCAGGCTAGCGAGCTATACTTGGCTAAGGCATGTTAATATTGATTCGTTTCAGGATTCATTTCAAGGAAGCTTCATCTTGTATCTAATATTTTACCGTCAACGCAGGCCTGGTTTCACAGTTCTCAACCAATGACAAGAAGCCGATCCTCTGAATTGCGGTAATTTTTACACACTTGTTAATAGATAATAACAGCGGAATTTCTGTTAAACTGTCTGGTGGATGCAGTCCTTAATCCATTCTACATCGTATTTAATTTATTTTTTTCTTATTTACTTTTATGGAGGGCACATGTCATCATCTCATTTCATTCAATGAATATATACTAAAATGCAGGAGGAGGTATGTTGCCATGCAAAACGCTCAAATGCCAGGAGGTCTGGAAGTGATGCAGACTGCTTCAGGGAATAGCAATCTAGCAAAACAGGATTTTGCATTTTCAAATGGTTTCAATGACCCTTCTATTTGTGTGGTCACCAATCAATTGGCGACCTTCATTTCTCCATCCAATTCATCATCGTCCACTTTCAACACCCCACAAATGAGTGAATTGGATAGAGTTTCATCTGTGGTGAGCATGCTAAAGGGTACCTTGGAGCGCAAAAAGCTTAGCAATCAGATCGAGAAAGAAGGTGTGGATGACGATAGCTCCAATGGACGTTTCTCTGTTCAAGAAGGTATCGTCAACATCGGTTTTGATCAAGGGAAAAGGGATCAAATTCATGAAATGGCAGGGGGAACATTTCAGGAAGTATCTACTATCCAAGTTAACAATCATAGAATTAAACAAAATGTTGAAGGTTCACTGGATCTTGAGATGGAAGGTTTTGTAAATATCACAAACCCGAATCCCATAAGCAGGAATTCTCAAGAACCTTCCCAAAGTGAATCATCTGCTGCTGCACCAGTAGTTTCATCTGGTTTTGATGCATGTGACGGTCCCAGCAATTCAAGTCAAACGCTGAGCATTTGTGAAAGTTCAATCAAACGAGCTGGAAGCTCTAGAGCCAAAGGTGATCCTTTTTGAGTCACTGTTCCCTTCCTATGAAAGTTGTATTGCAGACTGATATCGGTGACCTTTAGTTTTAGAAGCCTTTGAGTTATCTTATGCAAATTTTGTTGACAGATAACTAACATACAAAATAAAATCGATTAGCCCAAGATACCATCACGATAGATCTTAAAATTGTGAAAGAACCATGATCAGAACTATTTGTTTCCATTTACCAGAGTAAATGAAAATTTATACAAAATTACAAATGACTCGGCACAAAATGTAATTGTATGTCTGTGCAGACGTTTCAGATACACACCTTTCTTTCTCCTTTTGTGATTAAAAACGTTTTTGAAGGCATATTGGCAGTACTAACAAAAGTTAATACTGGTTAGCATCTAGTCAGTGTTTCATTTAACTAAAGTTTAGTATATATCTTGTTGTGAAACTGCAGATTTCAGAGAACGGATAATTGGAAACTTGAAAGATGATCAAAAGGTAAGACTCTACTCTTCGATATTGAGTATAGCATGTTATTATGAAAGCTTCTAAAACATTTACCAGGTTTCATGTTTCTTTGTTCTTTAACTTGCCATATTCCACAGAGTGGGAAACGTTTAGACCGCTACAGATCAGTGACATCAGCTGTTTCAGGTATCCAATTATTACTAAAACTTCAGCATAATGAGTTATGGCTTTTATTTCAATATTATCTCTATAAATAAATTAAACCAGAATGTTCTTGTTTCTTAAAGCATACTTCTGAATTGGACTTTACCAGCATATGCTCATGTGTGTTTGTAAAAAAAAAATTTAGAATGGAATGTACTCTACTTTATGGGAGAAGAAAAACCAAACTCTTTACTTATGATGTGCACAAAATATAACGGAATGTTCTTATGTTCGAGGTGGAAAACTAGAAAGCCTTTGGACTTACCTGACATTGATGTTTCTTTAGCTTGAATAAAGATATAATTCTCTTTTCTGTTGCCCCGTATAAGTGTCTCGAAAGCCTTTTCTTTCTGTTACTACATTCTCATCTTGATAATTATCCGCAGTTGAAGAAATTCTGTTAAAGTAAAACGTTACTGTATTTTTTCCCCTCATGGTATTCTACTTTCTAACAAAGAAAAATGTTTGCAGTGGACAAGGAGGATGCAACAAAAAAACGCAGGGTGGAGAGGTCACGGAAGTAAGTACGGCAACACCTACAATGGGGGCTAGTATTGTCTTCCCCCCAAAAAACCTCTCTTCTTCGAATTTGAGATCTTCTTTTCTTTATTTCCGTATTCTTTTTAACAAATGGCAGTAGACTGAGTTAATTGGCTATCCATTGAATCTTAATTCCAGTCTTTCCTTAATGTGGATGCTCATATATGAGTTAAAGATAAAGGGGTTGATTTACACACATGGGCACACACAGATAAGACCGCGAAAAAAAAAAAACACTAGTATGCATATCTCACCTACTGTCTGACATCAGATTGATTGTATCGAAGATCGTAACTTTTATTAGGAATTCTAGGAAGAGAAGTTGAGGAGGATTTTATGTTAAAATCAACCCAAGCTGAGCAGCTTCAACTAATGCCAGAACACATCTTTGTAGGAACATGAAGCAATAGAAATTATCTAGAAGGTGCTACATGTCTTTTAGAGATGAGAAGGTTATATTTACGTTAAGTTTCTTGCTGATGTAGAATGGCGGAGGCAAAGGAAAGGAACTCGACTCCAGTAATTCCATCTGATATACAATCTGTCTTGAAGCGGTGTGAAAATCTTGAAAAGGAAGTGCGATCACTCAAACTTAACTTGTCCTTCATGAATAGGTAATGGAACAAACTAGCTTTCATTTACTCAGAATTTTCTACTTTGATGTTTCCACGTATCAATTTTTTTTCCTATCACTCGAGTCACATTATGCATACAACCGTTAAATATTCATCTCTAAGATGAACCTGTGCGGTTGTTTGCTAAAGAACATAAAATTTCTTGTTGTATTGGACAATGACGTCTACAATCAATCAAGAAACTTGTTGTGCATGAGAGCTTTTAACTAGCTTCTGTGAATAGTTTTGTTGGTCCGAAACTTAAGCCTCTTGGTGAAGTGCTAGAGCTAGTAAATTGTTGAGAAAAGTATTTGGCAAGTATTGACAGTTAGATCAAATCAACTGGCAGGGTCTTTTTTCAGAGCACGAAAGCTTTTGGTTTGACTGCTAGAAACGCGCCTTGATGTTCTACTTGAAAAATGATTGATTATCTAAGTCTTACATTGTTTCAGGAAGGATTCTGAGCAGACTACGCAGATAGAGGAGCTGCAGAAGCAAAATGAAGATCTAATTGATGAAAAAGAACGGCTCGTAGAGGAGATAGAGAGAGTCCTTTCAGAAACTGGAAAGATTTGAAACTCTCATCAACTTCTGGTTTGCAGTTAACTTCAGGATCTTGAGAATTTATAAAGGTTCAATTGTGGACAAAGCAAACAGGCAAATCTTAATGCTTGATGCACAAGTAAATCATGGTTTGTTTGTTTTTTTTCTTCCAAAACTAGAGTTTGTGAATGTCAAACTATCAGTTGACCAGTAAATTCTACAATGTCTGGTAAATTCTACCAGTTAACCAGTGAATGTCAAATGGAGGTTACTTCTTATACAATGATATTCTGGTAAGGCGAGGCTGGATTTGGACAAGTAGCAATAACCTAATTATGACTATTTATCGAATTCAATATAAATGTTAAATCTTCATCTTCATCTGTGAGTCAAACCTGAGACTCATCACGTGTAGTACATGAGGCTTTAATTAATAACTTACAACTAGTTCTTTGTGGCATCTGTCAGGTGCTTGAGTTGATTTCATCCAAACCACTTTAAAACCATAAAAAGTTAACGAATAAACTTAACTTAAACTCCATAATCCTACACTAATAAGTTAAACAAAAATGTTGGGGGGCCTCTTTCAAAGTGGGACTCCATGGACTTTGTGCCACCCCATAATTTAATGTCAATTTTCATGTCAACATTATAGAATATTGTGCAAAAAACACGAGGTAATAGATAGTCTTGGATAAGATATGAAATTTCTCAAGCAATGTATGCATGCAAGACTTAAGACTTAAAACTCTATCAGATGACAAATCTACTTGAGTATTTACACACTCAAGGGGAGTGTTATAGATATTATATTAAAGTGTGATTGTTTAAATCCTAGATAGATTTGATTACTAGTTATTCTTTCCCTACTAGTATTGTATTTCCTTGGAGGACAGGATTTTCCCCCTCTTTGCTACTATAAATAAAGGTACTGTGCAGGGGAAATAACACATCCTAACATCTCATACTTTCTCCACTCTCTCTCTCTCTGCCACAACACGTTATCAACACGCTCTTGACGTTGCGCTAAAGAGAGTTTGATTTTCAATTAGTGGAGTATTACGTTTTAATCATTATTTTTATGATTAATTTATTATTTTATTAAATTGATCTACATGCTATTGATTCAATTTAATTTTTCTATGTTGAACGTGATACAACACATTGGAGATGCAGTTCCAGCTTTTAGAGAATGATCTTCTACAAATTCAAAGGCTTAATTGTTTTCTGCCAAGCAGGTTCTTTTAAAACAAATTAAGATATTTGAAATGACCGTGAAGCATGAAAACATTCCCCGTGATGCATGAACCCTCTACATTTATATTTTCCTTCCGATCTATATATTGCATATGTTCATATATTTGTCAATAATATATATATAGATACGTTCATGCATTACGCAATTATAAAATCGCTGTGTGGAATTTGTGAGTCGAAGAAAGAAAGAAAATAGAAGCATGATTTTTTTAAATTATTTTTGGGTTCTGAAAACCTTAATACTAAAAATCTGGAAAAAGAAAGGAAAAAAAAATGGAAAACTTGGTTGAGCCGCGGCTTACAACCGCGATGCCAAGCCAAGCCAGTCGCTAGAGCCACGCGCTCGCGCCGAATTGTGAAACCGAGCTGCGCCAGGTAGTCAAGCTGTGAGCTGCTACCCAGCCCAACCCGAGGTCACCAAAAACGACTGCGTTCTCCTGTCGTCCCCTCAATCGAACTGGACCGCCACCATTGACAACCTGAAGTCGTATCGTTTGGTGAGAACCGTCATCCTCAACGGCAACCTAAGAGATCCCAGTCATGAATCTCTGAGTTATGGACCTCCTAGACATCGAGAATTGTTCTCCGTCGAGATTTTTTAGGATTCTAGACGAACTCCGGCTTGTTTTCCAGTCTGAAACCATAAAGATTGTGACGGCGCCGTCGAGCTTCTCTTGCAACTCCCACACCCAACATTGCTGGACCTTCTCTGAGGACACCCAAGCCTAACTGGGCTTTTTTTTCTTTTTTTCTTCGGCCCACTTATCTGCAGTTGGGCTGCTCCTTTTCTCAGCCGGTGACACTGCAGCATACTGCTTGTTTTTGCCGGTAGTTGGGCTGCCTGCAACAGCTTCATAAGGCCCAACCCACAGCTGGCAGCTGCTGAGCTTTGCAAATTGGACATCAGTCAGCAATGCAATGCCAGGCTGCCTCTTGTTCTCGATCCAAAGCCATATTTGGCTTGATTTTTTATTCCATCCTGCACCCATATATTTGTTGTGCTCGATTGCACGACCTTAACCAATTTTTTGGTTTTTTTTTTTTTTTTTGAATGGCCCATAGCCGTCTAGTCCAAAATATGGCTTGAAACCTTGTATTATTTTGCTTCTACGATCAACCCCAAATAGTCTCGATCTATTGAATTAATTAAAAGTGACCAGCAGTCCATTAATCTGACATGACATCCAAAATTATTGGCCTAAAGCCCACTTTTGAACATTAACAATTCAATATTTTATTTCGTTTCTTTGAACTACTGACTCCCTTTTGTAGTCCCGAAGCACTCACACTTGAGTTCCTGAAGCAACCCAAATTCACTACACTTAGTTGTATATTGTATTATGTGTTCTTACAAGTACCTCTTCTTGAACCAGAAGATTCATAACTAAACTTGAACCAGTAGTTACGAATTTAGTGCTTTTGAAATCCGAAGCTTTCATAAAACACTACACCCATGAAAACCCAACGTTTTTCATGTACACCTTGTCTTAGAACTTGAAATGTTCTTACTTTGATGCTTATGGATATCTTATTTCCATAGTAGCAATCACAATCTTGTTCCCTCCATTTAGTGGATTGTCAAACCGTAACAAACTCGATTTCACTTATTTAGACGTTTCTTAACAAAACCACTTTATGTGGATATAAGACGTAAATCTCCATTTGACTATCAGAAGCTGAGAAACCATTGTAGCCAACAATGGCATTGAAGAATTATGCTGAAGCATTACAGATAGAAGTACCTCATGAACGAGGATTCCATGCCTCTTTGGCTCACTTCTGTGGACCGTCTGATCATGTGAGATATTGCCTGAAGCACACCATGATTATGTCCATGGATGAGTACGATTCTGAAGTTTATAAATCCGATCGGATTTTGACTAGAGAATACTTTTCTCGTCTTTTCATGTTTCTAACTCACTCCTGAAGCAGTAGTGTAGAAAGTGAAAGTTTACCAAATTATCGGATTTGATTACTACCACAAACGTGAGATAAAGTTATAAACCCAGCTTCGGCTGGAGTCTACCGAATGGTATAGACCTAGCTTGGCTGGAGTCTACTGAATGGCTCGACCCAGTTCGGTCAAGGCTTACCAAATAGTGATTCCCAGTTTCGGTTGGGGCCCACCGAACGGTAATGCTCTACTTTGGCAAAGGCCCACCGAACAGACCTTTACAACTTCGGTTGAAGCCTATTGAACCCAAGTCTGGGTCTGTCTCATTCATAATCCAATTTCGAGTTTGTTTTTACAATATATGGTAGAATCAGGGCCTACTAAGGTATGACATCATGCCTGAAGCGTGATCCATGGCACCTAAGACCTAAAACTTCAAGAATAAAGGATAATATTTTTGAATCTCAGCCCTGCAGAATCGACTTTCGTCTCGATGGAATAGATCATTGGTTATGCATATGTTCATGCCTCTACCAATGTTGTTGAGGAGTACCATTCTCATAGTCAATATGTGAAACTAATTTTGCTCCACCGAACATCGTTAGAAGAACATAATTTTGACATGGATGGCCTTGTTGGCCGAATCCCATCAGTAAACCATTTACTTTGTGACCATTTTTCCATGTTCTTGGATTCAAGTTTGGTATTTGTTTTAGTTATGGATAATCTTATCGATATTGTCCTCGAATACGAGTTAATTGAATCATATTTCTTGTATACATGTGACCAAATTCAATTAAACACGTGATTAGGTACGAATGTGGGAAAATTAGTTGTCTGGATGAATGTGATACTATGCACACTAACTTTACACCTAAATCACATATCTAGCAACGACTTCAAGTCTATCCAGCCTGATTAGGAGCATCGGCACACTCCTCGTTGTATGAATGGTACTAAATTACCATTTAAGAGACCTTATATTCTCCTCATTTTGAAAGAACGTTATTGAGTCTTAAGAATATTCGAGATGACAATGATCATGAAAGAAATCATCGAAGTAAATAGAGTGGAACATCTTTGCACCACCTCCAAAAATGAACCTGATGCTTTTATTTGGGGCCACTGGGCTGTCTCTCAACTGGGAACACACCACATATGGGCGACCTAGAGTCGGGTGATTGAGCAATTTACTTGCTTTGACACGACCATTTGGAACACTTAGGTCGAACAATGATGTCACGACGCATCTCCTTACCCGAAGTAAAGATCATGTACTTACAAGCACACTTTGCCAAGCCCTCGCAAAGATACGAAATCACCCTTTTTCACAGTGGATTCAAGGGAATATATGTGGACTAATCCAATCAAAATGCGGACCATATAAATACTTATGGTTTTGGTTGATGAATCGACAAACTGGTCACATGTTTGTCTACACACATTGCTGCTAAACCTCATGGCCGATTTTAAAAGGTTTACCATCCTTATTATCCCATAAAGTCTGGAAGACTGGATAATGTCAAAAAGTTTATATCGAAAATGGTTCGATAAGTATTGTATGTCTTTTGGGTTTATAATTGAACATCGAATTCCCATGTTCACCCCAAAACAGCCTCGCAGAGCTATCATAAAGCGCAATTTAATTAATCACCTAGACCTTGGTGAATGCATTAAGCTTTCGTTTTCTGCCTAAGGCAATGCAATCTTGTACGCAGCTATGTTGGTTTGCCTTGAGGTCCATTACCACCCAACCTATTCGACGTTACAGTTGGTTATTGGGTACAAACCTGATGTTTCGTACTTATGCATTTAGATGTGCATTCCATGTGCCAAGTTGTGCCGTCGCAACGTACCAATATGGGTCCTCACAAAAGGTTATGAATCTTTGTCGATTATGATTCTCCTTCATAATAGCTCTTTTAGAGCCCTTGCAAGCGATCTCTTAACTACTTATTTATGGATTGTCACTTCAATGAGACAGTTTTGCCCACTATGTCTCATCTCAATCCCCATACCGCACAAGTGTGATAAGCAAGTGTGATGTATTCTAGCTTTCAAAATGTTGCTCCAGATGCATTCCTCTGATCTAGCTCTGATCTAGCTAAAGTGACAAGATCATATACCAGCTGTAAACATACCTGCAAATCATTTCCAAATCCGTACTCAATTACTGTCTCAAATCATTTCCATCTCATGAAATTAATCCAGATTACTCCCGAGACTTGAAGTTCTTGGTTCAGTATACTAGTTTGGATGGAATTGGAATGAGATTATCATCAATGATGTTTTCACTTATATGGTAGCTATTGACATAAATGAAAAATGACGACATCGAACTATGTTCTGTTGATTAATGACAATGTAGAACTGATTGAACAACTAAAATTACAATGCAGGTTAAATTTTTTTACCAAAGTGTATTTGGACCTATCATTCCTACACTGCACAAGGTAACCCTGTTGTGTTACAAGTGGGAAAGGAAGCGTAATGAGATGAATGAAATGCGATGTAATGCACGCCTTATGGCGCAAGGTTTCTCTCAAACACCTTGTGATTGATTGCAATATTATGAATGTGGTTAGTGTTTCTCCATGGGGATATTGATACAGAGATTTACATGTAAGCTCCTGAAAAATTGCATAGACTGGTTCAAATAGTTCCAAACTACGGAACACCTTCTTAACTCGTTTAAGGCGTTCACTTACTGATTGAAGCAATCTGGCGGATATGGTATACTCGTCTAAGTGATTATTTGATCAGTCAGGGATATGAATTATGCCCTTGTGTGTTAAACTATGAAATCTTATTCTGAATTGCTAGAGTTATAGTTTATGTTCATGACATGCATCTCACTAAGACTCTAGAAGAGCTTGAGAAAACTGCCTCGTATCTAAAGACAAAATTTGAGATGAAGAATCTTGGGAAAACTCATTTATACCTTGACTTGAAGTTCAAAGCGTTGTTCTGACGATACTTTGGTCTACCAGTCAAACTATACCCCGAAGGTGTTACCTTTGAGAATACATATGATCTTCCATACGCTATATGCAAATAAGACCCTTGAAGAGGTTATGAAACCCGAAATTCCATATATGAGTTCAACTTTGAGCTTCGTTGTACTTAGCTCATTGTATTAGATAGGACATCTTCTTTGATGTTGATCTATTGGTAAAGATGTAGCACTGCGGCTACACGCAACACTGAATTGGTATTAAAGATGTTTTTCTGCTACCTTGAAACTAGGGATGGCAATTCTAACCGTTAAACCTGATAACTGTGGATAACCGCTTGAATGGATTGTATTTGGGTATGAAAATTCGGGTATATTTTGGCTATGGGGAAAAACCGTGATTATTATTCGGTTTGGGTTTAGATATGGTTATAGGGGTTCCCAATCCGTATCCATCCCCAAATCCAAACCGAATAATATATATTATATATAATATTAAAGTATTAAAAAAAAGAAAAAAAAAATATATATATATATATTATTCATTGAATCTATTACCTTAAGAATACAAAAATTGCATTGTGTGAGCTGCATTTTGTGGAATAGTTCAAAAGTTTTAATATGAATCAAAATCTATGAGAATTCAATGGTACTTATGGGAGATATCAAAAGATCAAACCAACATTATCAACGTTTAGCTTTAATTTTTATGTTTCACAAGATCCACTCATTAAATCATTTTATACATCAAATATTTAAAGACGAAATTAATATTTACTTAATTATCATGTATCAATTGAATGAATATATATTTTTTATTGACGAAGATGGATATAACCGTTAACCGATGACGAATCCAATACCCGGTGGGTATGATTATGGATAATACCCAATGGTTAATTTGCGGTTATGGATATGGTTAGTTTTCATGGTTATGGGGATGGATATAGCATTTCCGTCCCCAAACCGAACCATTGCCATCTCTACCTGAAAGGTACCATGGATTTGGGTTAATCCCAACGAATCTCGAGCGGATTCAACCCCCTAATCCTCGAAATGATGCTTGCCTTTGTTATGTTGACGCTGGTTACTTATCAAACCCACACAAGGTTACTTATCAAATCCGCACAAGGCAATACCTTGGAGGTTCACAATATGACCTTTGTTGCGAAACCTTCGAATTGTTCCAAGACTCACCTCACTTCATTATGCCACATGTGAGATAGGGTTAGGAGTTCTTGTTGAGTATATTCGAAGTGCTTGATGTTTTCATCCATCGTTGAGTCCCAATGACGATCCATGAAGACTATGCTGCATGTATCAACCCAACCAAGACATGATACATCAACAAAGTCAATGCCAAGACATATTACGTCTACATCAGCAAAGCATCAGGAGATTGAAGTCATGCAAGCCAATCCCAGACAACCTTGCCGACCTCTACACGACGTCACTGCCGAAATCAACCTTCCAAAAGCTTGTCCAAGGAATTAGTATGCCTAACCATCCATATGCAATGCTTGTAGTTCTCATTTGCAAGTTTTATCAAACTCAGGAGGAGTATCCAGAAGTATACTCACTTGATCTTAATGTACTATTTTTCCTTACGATTATGAGCATTTTTCCCACTAGATTTTTGCTACCTAACTAGGTTTTGATTAGGCACCCATCCTGGGCTGGTCATGCCCTTGTGAGCTCTTCTACTTGCGTCCAGAAGACGTATAATTTTGACTTAATGAAACTTCTCAATTTTCTGCTTAGTCTATGAGTTTTTATTCCACCTTGGGTTTTACCATAGTGAGGTTTTGTGAGTTTTGCCTTTTATGCATTCTTCCGTTGTTTTGAGACTCACATTCGCTCATTGTGCCGACGACTTCATCAACTGTACTTACTTCATCGTTGAAGACCTGATGTGTCATTTGTTTGATTATTTACACACTCAAGGGGGAGTGTTGCATTCCTATTAGATTAGTAATGTGATTATGTAAATCCTAACATATCTAGGATATCTGTCACATCCCGCCCTGGGCCCCCCACCACATCTCGGGCTCGACTCCACCGTAGCACGATATTGTCATCTTTGGACCCCGACCACACCCTCAAGGTTTTGTTTTTGGGAACTCACAAGAGAACTTCCCAGTGGGTCACTCATCTTGGGATTGCTCTCGCGCGAACTCGCTTAACTTCGGAGTTCCGATGGAACCCGAAACCAGTGAGCTCCCAAAAGGCCTCGTGCTAGGTAGAGATGAGAATATACACATAAGGCTTACAGTATCCACTTCCCTGGGCGATGTGGGATGTCACAATATCCTTATAGGATTCTATCATATCTCTTAGACTAGATATTATCCTATTAGAGTTGTAATCCTATTAAGGTAAGGTATTAACATTCCTTACTACTATAAATAAAGGTACAATAGAGTGGAATAAAACACACCTCACAATTACACATCTCTCTCTTTTCTCTTTATGCCGCACCCCCTCCCTCCCTGTATCTAACATTCATAAATGTTCAATAAATTATGCTTACAACATAAATAAATAAATAAAAACAATTTGAGCGATCCGAAAGAAAAATAAAAAACCAAATGGGGCCAAACGTTGCGTGGCACTTATTAGTTTAATAGTAAGAGAACGGGAAGAGAGAATCCTGAATCACGCACGGCACTCACACTCCATACGTTAATCTAAGCGAAACCAGAATCAGTCTCGCAGTTCTGCCAAATGGGTTTGAAGGTATGCTCTCGATTCTATCCCCTTCCCTTAAACATCGATTTAATCTCATATTATCCGTGAAAATTCATCCTTTCGCCGTTAAATTTACTACTTTTCTTGGGTTTTTTGTAGTTCAATTAGTTCAGATCTGTATTCTAATTTGTTTTGAATTTGATGAATTTCTCAAGATAAATCAGCCAGATTTATAGTTAATTATAGTGGGTTCTCTTTAATTTATGTATTGTACTTGTTTTGCATTCATTTGGGCTGAGATTTTGATCCTGGTATAGTGGATCAGAGCTTTCGTAACTAGTGTTTTTCACTGTGGCTCCAATTAGTTTAGATCATCGTCTAATGAGGGTTTTCGGTTCTTTTTGCTACATTCTGCTTTGCTTGTTTTCTTGGACTGAATATGAAATAAGGCAGTGTCTGTCTGAGATTTGTGATAAGCAGGTGCAAATCTGTTGTCCAATCTACCAATTATTTGCCAGCTGCCCAAAAAAAACTATTATCTATGAAAAAACATCGTCCGGTCAATCATCCGATCAACGTAGAATTTTATGATTCATAATTTTGTATGCATTGTATTGCTTTAGCACTTGTATAATTGCCAAAATCATCGTAATGAAGAGGGTGTATCTCCCAAATTGTTTAATGAATTCAAGTCAGTTTTAGTGTCAAACAAGGTTTTAAAAGACGCTAGGCGCTAATCGGGCGACGGGTTGGGGCCTTGCGCCTAGGCGGATTTATGTAAATCTATTATATTTCTTGTAAATAAGTGTCAGTTTATACTTAAAATATAAACAATTTTATCATAATCATCATAAACTACAAATTAGAATGACATATATATTATGAAGTATTGGAACATAGTGAAAACATAGAGAACAAGCATATAATGTGTGTTCGTTTAAGTCTACAACAAGTCTCTTACAATTTATTGAAAAAAATAAAATGCAAAATGAAAGTTATCTATTTTCTGTCTAAGTGAGTCGCAACCTAGGCGGGTCTGGGCGGGCGCCTCAACAGGTCTAAGTGCCATTTCTTAATTTTCAAACGCCTAGGCATTAATCGGGGCGGTGGCCAGCCTCCTAGTGCCTAAGAGGGGCCTAGGCAGCGCTAGGCGGGAATTTTTAGAACAGTGGTGTCAAATAGGCAGCTTGGACTTGGAACACTCTGTCTAAAGTTAGCGTGTAAAGAAGCTTAGTATATGGTCTTGTTCTTAAGTTATGCATGTTTATTGTTGAATTGTGAGTTAGTATTAGAAACACCTTAGTAAGAGTAAGGAGTTTCTCCATTTAAGCCTGCCCACTCAGATTTGGCTAGTTATCTGCTTTCTTTTGCGGTAATAATTTGTCACTGCATGATAGTATTTGATCGTATGATCTACTTCCTACTGTATAATCAGTTATGAGAGAATTTCATTGTTTTGACTAGTATTGCATTGACAATAAAATTGAACATGTTTGGTACATGTGGAAGGCATATCTACCTTCTATTTGATAAAAAATCCACTTGCTTTAATTCATAGCTTTTACTTGTATTTCCTCATTTATCGATTGCTTGTGTCAATTGCAGATGATGATAATTTATTTACTGTATAATATTTGATGATTTGGTGCCCATGCAGGAGGAGTTTGATGAACACGCTGAGAAAGCGAAGACCCTTCCCGAGTCAACAACCAATGAGAACAAGCTTATCCTCTATGGGCTGTACAAGCAAGCCACTGTTGGAGCTGTGAACACTAGTTAGTATAATGATCCCTGAAAAATATGAGAACGCACTATTTTGTTCTCTCGTTGCAACACAAATTTTCCATTTATGAGATTGTCAACCATCCTCTAAATCTTCCCTTCGCGTTTGTTTCTTTGTGGCTGACTTGCAGGCCGCCCAGGAATCTTCAATATGAGGGACAGAGCAAAGTGGGATGCATGGAAGGCTGTTGAAGGTGATACTTCTGAGCATAATGTTTATTATTATTATTATTATTATTATGTGTCAATCTTCTTCGTATACTCTTGCATAATTGATACTTCTGAGCATATCGTTTATTATTATCATATGTCAATCTTCTTCGTATACTCTATCATAATTCTAAGGTATAATTTTCGTTCTGGCAGGGAAATCCAAGGAGGAAGCCATGGGTGACTACATTACAAAGGTGAAACAGCTGCTGGAAGAAGCAGGAGCTTCTACTTGATGTTTTCGTATGGTGTTATTTGATTCAAAATAAACATTGTACACTTACGTATTGGTACTTTGTTATATCTAAATGTGCGAATGTAACGTCTATGGGATACTTTCGGTAGAATGGTTGTACTTTTAGTTGTTTAATTGGAGGGGTTTGCAGTGTTAGTGAGTTTGAGTTTGCCAATTTGCTATTACCTTGACCATTAGTAATGCTTTTAAGTATGCTTGGTTGGGTAACGGACTAGCTTTTGGACTCGTGATATTTTTCCTTCGCAATTTTGGAAGAGAGAGGTTTGAATCTGTGCCTTTCTCATCCCAATTTAGGAAGAGATAAGTTGGAATTTTCACTCCGTATTGATTAAAGAGATAAGTTTAGTTTTTTAGATTGTTTACACTTGATTACATAAACCTGCACATCCATCAAAATGTTGGTGATAATACAGGATGAACGCTGCTCTGCTCTTCTCTTGTAACGAGTCATTCCTTTCCGCTTATATTTTTAATATAAATCACAGCTTGATACGTATAAATTGCACAAATGAATTGTTTCGGATAAGGAGAAATGAAAAGGTTCATTTTCCTCAACTTTTTCCATGGAGGGATAAATGTTATGCATGGTTGATAAAAGTGAAGTTGTAGACCATGATTAGTAATTGCTACGCACCTACCAATAAGATTACGATTGCATTTGACTCTAAGAGTCATACGATTGCATTTTACTACAAGGGTTATATTTGATTCCTTTTTTATGTGCGTTGGGATGATATAACTTTAAAGTTAAATTTGATTTCAAAATTAACTTCATAACTTTTAATTATGGAGGAGGATTCCCTCCCCTCCTAATCTCTTCCTTTCTCTCCCTTCCTATTTGAACAGTTACGATTTAGTCACGTCAACATCTTATAGAGACAATAAGACAAAAAATAATATGTGAGAGGAGGGGAGAGAAGGGGATGGAAATAGGAAGGGAGATAATCTTCCTCCTTTAATTATTGGATTGGAGATGGCTTAAAACAAAGTTTAATAGGTATCTAGAATCATCAATCTATAAATGGATGTTAGTAGTTGGGTTTCATGCTAGTGGAAGTGGTGGTGGCAGCAAGGGCAAATGTATAATGGAACCAAAGGTGGGTCCCAAGACCACCAGAGGTCGGGAAACACGCATGTGAAAGTCCTTTGGAGATCCTTCAAATGTTTGCTATAGACCCTTTTGTGCCCCCAAAGTACTTGTTTTAATGTTTGCTAGGCACATTTTCAGTAAGTTACATCGACAACACTCGACAAAAACTCTCAATAGTACTTATCAGATTGTTGATATCTGTTGACATGCAACATGGTTTGGCTGACAAAAATAAACCTTAGTGAATAAATTGAATTTGTTTTTGAACGCTTCACGCTCTGTTTCTATCTAAAAAACTTGGACCCTTAACACTAAGACCTCCAAAGTTCAAATTCTAGATCCTCCATTAAGTCGCGGCAGTCATGATGACGACAATGGTGATGACAATGACGGTCGTTGGATGGTGATGGCTGCAACAGTAGCGATGATAATGGTGGTGCTCATTGTTAGGTGGTGATGAAGACGACAATAGTGTTAGTCGTTGCCTCGCCCATGCGATGGTGATGGCGGAGATGATGTTGGCAGGATTGGTGGCAATGGTAATGGTGGTTAAGGCACGTCCGCGGTGGGCGTGTAAGAAGAATAATGGTGATGGTGGCATAGCGTTCAATTTTTTTTTTCTATGCTTATGGTACAAACACAGAAATTGTTGTATGATTTAATATTATATGTCCAAATTCTATATATTTCTTCATCTTCATCGCAACGAAGAGTTATAATCTTAAAATCCCAATCGAAAACACCGCCCAAATTACCTTTAATACGACTTTCTGACTTTGTTTTGACTGTTGTGATGAGTTATTGAAGGCCAAGAAAAACCACAAAAAGAAACAAAAGAAAAAGAGAATAAAAATGGAGAAGATATGCAAGTCCAGAGATCTACTGAACAAAAGGACAGCTAGAGATATAGTATTCCCTTACACGAGAAGCGCCGTCTCTAGCCAGAATACCTTCAAGATCTCCGATGATTCTGGCCAACCATATCTCCAAATTTCTTTGGATTTCTTTCAAGTTGTTTCTAATGGAATCTGAACACCGCCGTGTGTTGTGTTTGGGCTGGTTCCCCAGCTCATCTCCATAAGAACTCTTCCCAATCTCCGTTTGTACTGCCATCAACTTCTGTCCAGTTTCTGTCGCACGTTGTTGAAGTCTAAATGATTCGAGTAAAAATTCTGTTTGTCGTTGTGTACGAAACTCTGGACTGAGTGTAGGTTCGGAAGGATCACTACCTTGCTGCAAAAACAAGAAAATTTAGCAAGCAACACGGCCCAAATGGTAGCGTGTCAAGTATCATTGGAGACAAGTACCGAAAGTTCCATAAATCAAAACAGATGTAAATTACCTCAAAAGAATTTATAATTTTAGAAACCGCTAAAGTACATCTCAGACTAATAATTGGGACGTTATATGATAACTGCAGAAATTATGAACTACAAAGGAAAGTTTATTTTCAATCATTTGTTATATTACATCTTGCTCACACTGATAAAATAGACATGATGTTATAGTCAAAGCTGCTAGTAGAAAACCGAAATAACCAGTTATAGTAGGCACGGACTGACTAAAAGAAGCAAGGTTTATGTTTTTATACATATGTTTGTAATGCACTTCCCAGCGTACCTCACTTAAAATAACACAGCAAAGAAAATGTAAAATATGGTATAAAATAACGCATAAATCAGTTGGATAATTAGGAATGGTAAAGTCACTAGTTTCAAGAGGGATTTTGAATTATTGATGTGCTTGAGGCATAGTCAAAGCAATACAACTTTGTTAACTTCAAACTAACGAAGCAGTTGCTTCTCATTTATAAAGAACCTCCTGTTTCGTTCCTTCTACTCTCCTTTTTTTTCTTCAGTTGTACTTTCTGTTGTTAATGGCAGATTTCAACTTTATTAGCGTTCCAATATAATCGGGGATTATCAGAGCTGTCTTTCTTTTGTTTTTCTTTCTGTTGTAGTACTTTCTTCTGTTAATACTTGGGCTCTCTACAACATTTAACAGACAATAAAATGGCATAACAAAAGTAAAACATGGAACGTAAAACATAAAGCATTACCATTCTTCTGCACAGATCATCTATCTTCCCCGCAAGAGCTTGATACCTCTTGGCCTGCTTCCTCATCAATGAAGGTAACTTAGAAATATCATTCTTTCCAACAGTTTCCAAATTCAGTAATTCCTGTTCAAGTAATTTTAGCTTAGAGGATATTCTTGTCGACTCACCATCTAGCTTCCAAGGCGACTCCCTAGGAAAGAAAGACGTGTTGATATTTAATTAGCTGCAGAATATTAGCTAGACGCTTCAGAAATGATCAGTAAGTAGGCTGTCCAATATATACCTTGGTACAAAATGCTTCATGTGATACAACGGTTCAAGGGATTCATAGTGTACATCCTGCATAAGGAGGAGAACGGATTAAAACAAGTTACGAACATTTCCAATTTGATAAATTCGGAGAAGAGAAAATACGCCAACATAATGGTTAACGTTCCTCAATAAAAAAAAACTTCAAAGAACAAAGTTTTTTTTTTTTTTGTCAAACGATAGACTTTGTTAGATTAGATATTAGATTAGTCACTGACGGGTTTTGAACCCATACAGTTATGCAAAGGCTCAACACCTTTCCACCACTATGGTAAAGGGCCACTTGCTTCAAAGAACAAAGTCAACCAGCAAAGCAGTGAAAGAAGACCACATTGAATTGCTTTTAATAGTTCCCAATTACATTTGACGTTTGATGGCTCAGATGGAAAGTATTAAAAAGCAATTAAGTTAAACTTCCATTTCAGAACACAAGAAGTCAGAACAAATAAACAAATTTGAGGAGACTCGAGGGAAAAGAAAAAGACAATTTTTCTTCTCTTTTCTTTCATTTTTCCAAAAAAAACTGGAATAGTTGATCAAATCATTGCAGAGAATATTGGTGTCCAACTTCATTACAGCGATAAGTGCCAAACAAAAGGGTAAACTTGAGATGCCAAGTTACACAGTTTCGGGATAACGATTCGCCTTCCAGATAGAAGCAGACACATGCCTTGTAAATTGCCACTTGTTTGCTAGTGATGAAGGAGACAAATGCACCTCAGTATCTGGCAAGCCACTTGCATGCTAGTGATGAAAGAGACAATGCACCTCAGTATCTGGCAAAGGATTTAACTTCGTTTCTAAAAAAAGGTTACTTCTCATCTAAGATGCTAATAATAATAATGGATTAAGATTTAGCCAATGTTTTTTTTTTTTTTTTTTTTTGTTATGATTATCCAGATGCCAAATTGAAACGAAATCGAAGCCCCAATGTGTGAAAGTGATGGAGGCAAACCTGCCAGAGCTTGGAAGCATCAGATACCAAGTGCGAGTCGAAGCCGAAGCCAACGGCATTGTCGTAGACAATGACTTCCTCCTTGCCTCGGTGCTGGTGGCGGTGACAGTGGTTGTCGCCGTCAACCTCAGCCTCAGGTCCTCCTCCGCTGCTGGTGGCCATGAAACCAATCATGTCGTCCCTCTCCTCAACCACCATCTCCAAATCCTGAATCCTGGCACTGGAATCATCCTGGGTTTTCTCCAGCTCCAGAATCCTGGCATGGAGGTGGGCGATTTCTTGGTGGGCGTCGTCGATCTGGTTCAGCAGCCGCTTCTCCTCGGCTTGCCAAGCGTTGCGGTGGCTGGCGAAGATCTCGACGACCCGGGCATTGGCTTTGGAGTCCTCTTTTCGCCTGGAAGTCATGAAGCTCACTTGCTCTTCCGCCTGCCATAACCGCGCAGAGAGCTCGCCCACTTGGCTCTGGAGCTCCTGGAAGTTGTCGGGAGCTAAAGCCAGGAAAACACCCAGGCTCAGGCCAAGGTAGGAACAGAATAGCTTCTTCGTAGCATCATCTTCGTCTTCTTCTAGTTGCTGTTGTTGTAGTTTGTGCCCGTTTTCAGCCATGACTAGTGCCTGTAGGCTGTAGGGGAGAGAGAGAGCGAGAGAGAGAGCGCGAGAGATTTTGAGTTTTTGGGATTGTGGTGGATTGCGAAGCGAGTCGCTTTTGGGTGTGTGCGACTGTGGGTAACAGGGGAGGACGGAAAAAAAGCGGCTTTTGGGGGTTTGAGATTGTGCGAGTTTGGGAAGGAAGAGAAGACGGTCGCTCTTTGCTTTTGGCACTACGATTGGAGTCTACCTCTACCAACAAAGGCGGGGCAAATGTTATACCTATTATTTTAATGAATTCTTAACTGGTCGTTAAAATTAATAGGTGAAATAATCTGACCCATTAAGAAAAAGAGAAAATTAAAATTAACGGGTTGTGTCGTACATTATTCTTTATTATTGTAACTATTTTCGTTAATGGTTATTTCTCATTCTTTGTCAACATTACATCGCCGTAAAATATGTTTGTGAACATTTTAACCAAAAAGAATTCAAATTCTGGCACCAAATCATTTTTCTTCCCAAAAACGTAACTAGAATTGCTTCATTATTAGATTATATCCTTGCAAATTGATTAGGTACGTAGTTGGGCACATAATGAAAAAAATTAGGGTTCATATATTGTAATGTGTTAACCTTGTTCTTGTTTTAATTTTTTATAATTAAACTAGGTCAATGGTGAAAATATAAGAAATCATTAGGGACATAGAAAGGTGACAATAGCTTACTATTAATTTAAAAAAAAAAATGATTCAATACCTAATGAACAAAACATCAACTTAATACTTAGTTTAAAAGAAGGAGAAATTAGGTTCTTATCCCTATTTTTTCTACTCCATTGATTAAGACCTTATTCCTTTTCAAATTTTAATCAAGGTCCTTAAGTTTTATTAATGTCACATCCCGCCCCGGGGCGGATCACTTCCCAGGTCCGCTCCACCACCGTAGCACGATATTATCCGCTTTGGGCCCCAGCACACCCTCACAGTTTTGTTTCTGGGAACTCACACGGGAACTTCCCAATGGGTCACACATCATGGGAATGCTCTCCCGCGCTACTCGCTTAACTTTGGAGTTCCGATGAAACCCGAAGCCAGTGAGCTCTCAAAAGGCCTCGTGCTAGGTAGGGATGGAAATATACATATAAGGATCACTTCCTGGGCGATGTGGGATGTCACAATTAACCTCATCAATTATTTCAATAATAAAATATTTACATGTCAAGATAATTAAATTTATTTCTTTTCAATTAAATTATATTTCTAAATATATTCATTTAGTGTTTAGAAACTTTACCTTTGGTATATTTATATTTATGGCTAAACTTTGTATCATATATTTCTATTTTTAGTTTGTACCCATTTTTAATTTGCAACCTTTTTTTTTTTTTTAAATTATACCAATTTTCTTTTCAATTTCAATTTGTATCCATATATTAATTTCTTTTTGTGCTTATATTTTTTAAACTTTTATTTGTACCCGTAATTTATTTATAATGTACCCATTTTTATTTAAAATGTATCACTTTGTTACATACCAAATGTACCAATTTTTTTGTTTTGTAAGTGCCATTCCTTTATGTAAAATGTATCTATTTTTTAATGTAAAATCTATTTATTTTTTTAATCTAAGATATACTCGTTGTTTTTTTTTTTGTATAAAATGTATCTCTTGTTTTTTTATATATAAAATGTACCCATTTAATTTATATAAAATGTGCACAATTTTTTTGTATAAAATGTGTCAATTTTTTGTATGTGCAATGTACCCACATTTTTATATAAACGTACCAATTTTTTACATGTAAAAATGTACCCAAAATTTTATTGCATAAATGTACTCACATTATATGTCACATCCTGGCCTGGGGATATCAAAGCCTAACCCTGGCCGCATGTGTGCTGACGAGGACGTTGGGCCCCTAAGGGGGGTGAATTGTAACATCCCACATCGCCCAGGAAAGTGGATCATGTAAGCCTTATATGTATATTCTCATCTCTACCTAGCACAAGGCCTTTTGGGAGCTCACTGGCTTCAAGTTCCATCAGAACTCCGAAGTTAAGCGAGTTCGCGCGAGAGCAATCCTAGGATGGGTGACCCACTCGGAAGTTCTCATGTGAGTTCCCAAAAACAAAACCGTGAGGGCGTGGTCGGAACCCAAAGCGGACAATATCGTGCTATGGCGGAGTCGAGCCCTGGATGTGGTGGGGGCTCAGGCCAAGATGCGTCTAGGTCCGTCAACGTTTAGTTATGTAATTATTGTTTGGGCTTAACCCAAAGATAGCACACACTCATCTTCGAGGCACGTGACGCCTATGGGTGTGTAGGTGAAGTTTTCTATTTTTGATGTCAGCCAGCACAACTCGATTCGGAGTCCTTATGGACATTCCGGGTCGGGGTGTGTCATTATAAATATATATATATATATATATATTCTAAAATGCACCCATAAGCAATCTTTTTTTTTTTTTTGTCGAAACCCATAAGAAAATTTCAATAATTAAATTAATAGTGTAAATGAAAGAAAAATAACGTTTGAGTATTTATTGATATTACTACATCTCCTTTATTATTATGTCATTTATGTGGAGAGGGACTTCAATCTAAAACCTAAAATGCATAAGGTTTGAGTCTATAACAGTTAGGAATCAGGGACCGCAACTAAACTATCCCTTAAAAGAAATAAATTGCTCTACATAATTTAAGATGGCAGTGATGAAGGTGTTGTAGGGTGGTAGTCAGTATCAAAGTTTATAATAGGAGTTGCCCATTTTTCTTTTATCTCTTTTTTTGTATGTAATCAACGCCTTTGAATCTAGACTTATATGGGAAGTATCGGCCAACATCGTCTTCAAGTCTACCTTTTTTCTCAAAACATTCTCTGAATTGTCTCATTTGTTTAGCTACTTCGCTACCTTCATCCACCTCCTTTACTTTTCTTTTTTGCTCTTTGGCATTGTGTTACCCATAGGCCTATGACGGAGGTTTTGGGTTCTAGAATAGTCTTTGATTCATCATAATCCCAGACAATATATGCAAACGCTTGAGAAGGGGAGGATTGAAACCATCCTTGTTCGGCCATTTTGCTAAATTTTGTAGTCTCCCAACAATGATCCATGCAAAAAGGATGTCCTACCTTCTCATGTTACATTTTTTGCATCATTTATCTATGCATGATATTTTTTTAAGAAAAGGTTTAAGTTAGCTCACAAAGATGAGACAAGTAATTTGTGCAGGTAACTAGTAAAAATATAATTAAATAAAAATATCACCTTATCGAAATCACTTGTCCCACTTTCTTGTGACACACTCACTAAATTTGGTAAATTTTGAGTTGTTTGTATTATACCATCGAGATCTAAGACCTTTAGCACCTCGTTTTTCTCCTCTGTTGGCCATGATTTAATTGAATGCCTCGAAAACGCGTTCCCAAAATATCATCAAGGCTTGGCCATTTCTAATAATAGGATATTCACTAATCGCTATAAAATCACAACATAGAGCAACATTGCTTCAATTGAGTAATTTCCACCCTTGGTTGGAGCCTCACTTGAACCCACCATTGATGGATAAAATAAATCAACAAAAAGAACAAAATAAATTGTATGAAATGAGAGAATTAAGTATAGAAAATGAAGTTGTGGTAAATTTTGGTTATATGAAATTGGTATTTACAAGGACCATTGAGCATGAGCAACAGTAAAAACATTAACAAATTTTAAATCCAACATTAATAAGCAACGATGTTGATCAGAGCATTAAAAGCACTAGTGTTGACCAGAATTGTTGATTCTCAACGATAACAAATTTTAAATCCAAAATTAATAGGGACCGTTGATATAAAATATGTTGAAAAGACAATAAAAAAAAAATAATAAGGGCGTATGCTGACGCCGAGACCTGCCCTTGAAATTGCATCAACAGCTGTCTGGCGAGTCCACCAACAATTGAGAAGGGGAGGCGAGTGAACTCAAGCCGCACAACACCAATCAAGGTTGTGGGCCCCATTTTCCATTCAAGGTTGTGCCCCTACATAGACCTTATATATAGGTGTATACATTATGCATCTAGTGAGTTCCAATACTTTAGAGACTCATTTTCTGATCTATTGGAGATTAAACTTGCCCCTACATTTTTTTATACCCGTTTTATACGGTGGCTGTTCCTATTTAGGAGTAGCACTGGAGATGCTCTGAGTACAACAAATTTGTGGATGTGATGGGAATTTTTTTATAGCTGCATAGAACATGTAATTTGTCTTTAGCTTTCTAAACTTGTTTTTTTTGGTAAAACAAGGAAAAGCAAAAGACTCCAGTAGACATAGCTCAAGCTAAGGTTGGGGATTTAATAAAAAATAAAAAAAATAAAAACCGAGTGAATCGCCCGAACCGCAATGATGACTTGGTTTGGTTTGGTTTTCTTGGTTTTGTTTTTAATTTTTGGTGATTAAACTGAACCGCACCGACGTTTGGCAATCGGTTCCCAAAATTCTTAAGGTGTGGTTAACCGAACCTACCCTCATATATTTTATTTTATTTTTTAATCATAATTAATACATGTAGTAATATAAATGGTTAGTTATTTATGAGTTACCGTGTTTCCACCATATGAAAACAAAACCTAATTAGTTTAAGAGTCCATTTGGAGAAGATCAGGGGGACCATTTGGAGAAGGCAGCAGCTGTTGTGTTGGTGTTCTCCTAGGGCTGCTTCATTTGTGTTATCCTTTGAACAATCACTCATATTGATGCTACGTTCTGTTGCGTTTGGAGAGATATTTGTTATGTATTTTCATCTTCACACAAGCCGAGAACCGACCCAAACTAACCTACCACTGTTGGGTAACTGACCTAATCGGTTTTAGACCCACCTTGGTTGGTTTCGGTTTGCAATTTTGGCCCAACCGATTACGTCGATTTGGTTTCGATTTTGGCCGAAAATCGACCCAAACCAACCCACGCCCACCCCTAGCTAAAACCATCTGAACAAACATATCTCATTTTACAAATACCAAGCACATCATCTATAAGAGCAGACACAATCCAAGTAGGAGGATCATGGAAAATAAGGTGCGTGCCCAACACTCGAGGGTGATGAAGCCGTTTTAACATGCATGGAAGTTATAAAGAAAGAATGAACATAAATAAAATATGTAAATTTAAACATAATGAAATATGCAAATGTGGGAACGTGTTTAAAGCATACAATTAATCAAGAATAGTGCAAAATGAATGTTGTATAATAATGAGATTACAAAGAAAAGGGATCCTACACCGAGAGGACTCGAAGGTACCGATATGAAAATGCCTCAACGCCAGGATCATACACCTCGATTTTAAGTCCTGAATGGGGTGCAAAACAAAAAAGGTGAG